CCCCCCCCCCTGGCTACGGGCATGCGTATTCAATATGAAGCAATGAAACAAACCGTACTGTAGTTGGCGGTTGCTCGTGTATCGGTAAATGGGCATGGAAGATCCCTCAAGCCTCAAGTGTCGCGGTTTATAGTTAACCAAGGATATGTAGCTCTGTGGGCGGCTAGCTCCTAGATCCTCTAGCTGGCAAGTTGTTTAGTCTATCTAGTACGGATGACTTTTTTTTAGCATTTTCCTAGCAATCTTAACATGTTATCTTTCTCTTAGTTTTACTTAGTTTCATACTGGTCCCGTTGTCTGCCCTGTAATGTTCCTTGCATTATGGTTTTGGCTAGGCCCGATGATCGTGATACGTAGCCATATGTACACCACTAGTACTTTAGTTTCCGCCAAAAAGCAGTTACTCAAGCAACGTCAAAACGTTTCCAAAATCATATCCAGTTGCTTGAGTAACTGCTTTTTGGCGTAATTACCTGGTTGTCTAACCTTCATCGACGTACTTCAGTTTCCGTTTCTTAATTACTGCTGTTTACAGGTATTCATATGGTATAGTTTTGACTAAGAGCCTTTTTTCCTATGTTAATTTTCCAGGCTGCCAGGCGAAGTCTCTGGTTGCCCGACAGGGTGGGGGAAACCCGCATAACTGTCCGGAACACTGCCCGTTCAACATCGAGCCGGTCTGCGGGTCCAACGGGGTAACCTACGACAACCCGTGCCTGCTGGAGGCCGCCGCTTGCCAAGACGCCACGCTGTGAGTATAAACATGTAACGGCCTTTATTATGATAATTAGCAGCTGATAGGTAGGTCCTGATTGGTTGATGGGAATAACCAATCAGTGAAGAACTATTGTCAGCTAGCATAGTTGAGCTTGGCCAAGCTCATTCCACGTGGTGAGCTACTAATTATCACAACAGAGATCATGGCCGTTACACTATCCCCCTCCATCAAAGAAGCGCACGTCCTCGAGGGCGAACTAGTTATCATAACAAAGGTCATGGCCGTAAGCGTTCCAAACGCACTGAAGTAGCGTTCGTAGTCCTGTTGTTAGCGATCCTGTCTCTGCATTGCTCAAAATCTCATCTTTTTAAAAGCTTTTAAAGCGTCCGTAATAGTTCCACTTTCCAGTTTAGCGAAGAAACAGTAACTTTACACAATCCAACAAAAAGTCATGCTTTAAGTTGAGCTTAGATACAGAGTTTTAAGTAGTGCTGGGCCAACAAGATGTGATGGATGCCAAAGCCAAGTGTCGCAGTCCCTAAGATGTGTGGTTAAACCTAAGCCGTGATCCACTCATTATTGTGCTTGTCGACTACGGGCAGACCTACATGTCTCAATGTATGAAACGCACCTATGGCTTTATTATAATAATAACCTTTATTGTACATTCATGCCCTATCGGGCTAAGTACAGGTGAACAGATGAAATAGGTAATATACATGTTTGTATTACAAACAGCTTATTACAAAGTTTCTAGTGGGATACCGAGTTGACGAGTCCAGTCCTTAAATGTGCAAACATATTATTTTCCAATAACTCAACTCCTTTCTTTAAGGTATTCCGACCAGTGGAACTACAAGCCTCTGACGCTGGCCCATTATGCTCCATGCGGCACCCAGAACCGTAAGCGTCAGTTCAACCCTGGCACCGAGCACTGCAATACGCACTGTAACGATCACTACGCTCCGGTGTGCGGCAGTAACGGGCAGACCTACACCAACCGCTGCTTCCTGGAGTTGGACGCCTGCCAGTTCAGGTACGGCCAAATATTACAATCGCACTGGAGGACATACCAACTACTATTAAAATTACCTAACACCAGCTCAGAAAGGAACAAGAAATAGCCACTTCAACTACTAGAGTAATGAACCAAGGATTGAGGTATTCAAATCTTTTCTAGAACTATTACAGAGTGGAACTCGCTGTAGTAGGGGCATTATCATTAGGCATTCTCATTAGAGTTTATATGTTCAACGGTTAGGTGTAACAAGTCGTTTTGCGTAATATATCCAGCTACCGCTGCGCCGCGTGCCTGCGAAGCTGGTGTGTTTCGCTGATGGCGGTTATATACAGATATAGGTACAGATGTTGCAATCTCGGGGATTTCAAATCTCTGAGTTTGGAGTTGGGGTTTCCTTGTTTTTATCCTTTTCTGTTTTATTCTTTTGTTTCTTTCAGCGCTCAACACCCCGAGTCCCACCATACCATCACCGTGGCATACGATGGCGCCTGTAACGGTGTACCCGAGAAACGTAAGCGGCAGTTCGATGGCGACTGCCCGATGTTCTGTCCCGAGTACTACTCTCCAGTCTGCGGCAGTAATGGTCAAATCTATGACAACATCTGCTTCCTGGAGAGCGCTGCCTGCATATTCAGGTAGGTTCCAACATGCAATAACATGAAATTGAGATCGAGAAAAACATCTGAGGATAATAGATTGTGTAAATGAAAACCGAAATTGCATGATTAATGTGAAATTATTATAATTTCATAGTTGTAACTGCTGGGAATTTCATACTTCGCATTTAGAAGTTAAGTGAAGGTGAACATCAATAAACATAATTTATTCAAATCATAGCCTTTTTTGTTAAGATAAGGCTGTCATTGGATGGGGAATACGATTAACTGATATAATCCATGCAAATAATGCTCTTATTTGTAAAGTCAATGATTGAAATAAATTGTATAATTCGTCAACCAGAAGGGTTAACATTATTTGGCAAAGGTATGAGGTCGTGGAAAGTTTGTTTATTACAACATTCAATGACAAGACGTGGTGACGGCACACTCAAGTTTTTAACTTATATCTTTTATGCCGCCACCAACGCAGAGGACAATACTCATTTTCACTGTTTAAGGTGAGGAAAGTGCCTTTCCCAAGGGCACAGGGTTGGTGACGTGGCTGAACTCGGGATAACTCTGCCATAACGCCACACGACCTCACATTGCTAGTCCCTTGCTGACAGGGTATGCATACTAAGGTCAAAAAAGATTAAAGCCTGTAATTAAAAGTGTAATCATTTCTTCTTTTATTTCTTTCAGTGCTCAACATCCCAATTCCCACCATACCATCACTGTGGCTGACGATGGCAATTGTCACAATGGCGCCCTCATCCACGATAGCGCCGCCATCCAAGATGGCGTCATCCAAGATGGCATCATCCACGATGGCGTCATCCACGATGGCATCATCCACGATGGCGTCATCCAAGATGGCGTCATCCAAGATGGCGCACCCATCCACGATGGCATCGTGCATGATCGTGCAATCTAAGATACCCACAGACCAATCCCGACTGACACATCTGCTGTGAGATCATCACAGGGAGTTTTACTTGTCGGGATACTGTTGAGGTGCAGTCACATACGTCGTACGATTTATTTGGAAAAAAATAGCGATTCCTAGCGAGGCTACAGATTTGTCAAATGTGACGATTTGACCGTTGTATGTACGGCAATATTTGTCGTGACAAGATGGCAGTGCTGGCCGACACATTCCCGACTATTCTAAGAATGCCTCCCGATTTAAGCCGTACGACGGATATGACTAAACTTTGACGTATAAACAAACGAACATATTCCGTTTAATAAATGGCACTAAGATCAAACTGCAGCATTTATGTTGTTTTTCTTTGGCCAATATAAAACTAGGCCGGTAGTTCATTATGACTTAATGAAAGGTTGTAAAAATAAATATATGTTAGCAGTGGAGCCGGGGCGTGTCGGATGTCGAAAATCCATATGTAAATAATGTCGCAATAAACATAACACATATGTGTGCAGAAGAGGCCGTGGGAGGGGGTTTGTCGGATGTCGCAAAGTAAATAATGTCGTCATTGCAACTGTGTTACATCCTGTTCCTGTGACTAAGTTTAGTACTCGCAGTATATAGTAGAGGGGATTCATTCCTCAAACCAGCTGACATCTCGTACACGTACACAGTGGCGCCCCTCAGTAAGACATCTGGAGCCGCATAGTTCCCGTTTAGAACTTTTATTCAGCCTGTCACACGACCGGTTTCGCCTGTGTGGCTTCTTCAAGTGTACAGAGGCTAAATAAAATCGTATTTTGTTCAGGGAAAACAACGGCTGGTAGACTATATAATAGGTAATGAGTAAACGAACTAAGCAAACCATTATACTATAGTTCGTGCTAACCGACAGAATAGTAGCAAAATAAAGTCAAAGCTTATTGCACATCGATTGTCACGGGTACAATGTATGGCAAATGATAAGATTACTAGTTGGCATGTGTCTAACATAATGCTATATATACGGTCAACGGACATTGTATCTGACAGAGTATTATAAAGAACTACTGGCTGGAGAATATATGACGGGGCGTAAAATTTGTTCCGGTTCAGCAAATATGAAGATATACGTGATAACCACAGCCTTCAGGTGAAATTACAATATGGCGTATTCACAGGCATTAATTCTCGTCTTTCTGGCGGCAGGTAAGCAATTGCTCACTTTTCTTACCAAAAAGTAGTTTAAAATTTCGACATCGTCGTATATGATATGTAATGTCGCTAGGACCTTTGAAGGTCTGAATTATTTTTTTTATCTTGAATTTATCAGCCATATGGACATAACTTTCGTGGCCAAGAAAAAAGGCTAGCCGAGTGCATGGTTATTGAGTAAAAATGCCATAGTAATTCAACATCAATTTCCAAGTAGACGTTAGGATAGAAGATCGTAAATTTTCCTGACTGCCAAAGACTTTGCTGTCCCCCCCCCCTCCCACCGACTGTTCGCAGTTGGGGGGGGTCTCAATCTCTTTGAGATAAATCAACCATTCAACACCACTTAATCATAAATATACATATATTACATCTTATTATAAGAAAGTTCACAGAGTATTTCCAGGCCTAAAATGAGGTAGTAACTTTTCTGACCAGCCTCCGTAACACCTAGTCATTCAGTCAAGCTTGCCTATTAATAAAAGCTTGATGTTTCTGACTTTGGGAGAAAAATGCTGCTTCAGTGAGCGGTAGTGCAGTGCCCAGGAGTGTTCTGTGTGGCCCCTTACCGAGCAAACCCGTTAAAAATTTCATAAAGTACATGTGTAGTTCTTTTAATTTTAAATAAGACAAAACATTTGTTGTGAGACATACTTCGACAAACGTTTTATCATTATTATTATCATTATTATTTTGACACATGGACTCTCCTCCTAACTCGACCCCCACGAAAAGCGGCCTACATGCCCGAATGGGGTGAAATATATGCAAATACGTTTATTTTGAGTATAAATACTAGTAAAGGCACAAAGAAACAACGAAATGTGTGTGTGCAGGTTGCCAGGCGAAGTCGCTGGTAGCCCGGCAGGGTTTGCTGGACCCGTACGGCTGCCTGATGGCCTGCCCGCTCGTGTTCGATCCGGTCTGCGGGTCGGACGGCATCACCTACAGCAGCCCCTGTCATCTGGACGAGGCCTCCTGCCAACTGGCCGAACAGTAGTTTTTTTCTTTCTTTCTTTCTTTTAATTAATTAATTTATTTTAGCTTTATCTTTTACATATATTCACATATAAAAAAAAGGCCATGGGAAACAGGCAAGTGCCTTTACCACTCCCTGACCACATAATAATGATGATAATAATAATTCATGTAATAATAATAGTAACAAAGAGTAATAATGAAAAGGACATGTAATACAAAATAATACTGTAACAGTAACATATAATAAAGTCTCACGAAGACTAAAATAGCAAAAATTGAAACAACAATTGAAACAATAATTGAAACAATACCAATAGTAACTACAAATAATAATAATAATAATAATTTGAAAAAAGTATAAAGAATGACTGAATTACATGTACGTGGGTACAACAAAATTGACCTACGTACAAAACAATAGATGAATCAACTGATACTATTTGTTCTAAGGTCTAAACATTCTTTGATATACTTACCTATTTGTTCACAGTAAGCGTTATCGCCTTCTAGAATGAAAGTTAATTTTTCTATAGCATGAAATATAACAAATTCCGTTGAGCAAGCAGAGAGAAGGTTGAACAGCTTTGTGCGTTTATCATGATACTGGACAATCCATGATAAAATTCTGTTCTTCTTTGTGTGATTTAAAAAATAAATGTTTACGAGTAAACCTACCTGTTTGATTACCGCCATTATGAAAAACATGCTATTCGCTATGTCCAAATATGGTATAATGACCTGCGCCGTGACATTGCGCAAAAACTCTATTTTACATTCGTGGGGGAGGGGGGTGATAAAGAAAAGAAACTAGACCCATAAACACTGAAAACTGGAACATATTTCAGTGGTCCATCAGAAAATGGCCAAGAAAAATAATGTTATCTTACCTTCATCATCCCAAGAAAGGCCGACCACACGAAGAGTCACAATTATATTGTCTATAGTAGAGGTCACTTGCCATACATTCAGTTTCAGCGGCACAATTTTTCAACAACGCATGTCAGTACTTCAGGTGACCTCGGGGTCACATGAACCCTGTTACCCCAATAGTGTAGCGATATCAAAATCGCAATAAACATAATCTTTTGTATCATGATAAAACTTGGACATATCAATGGACAATACAGTAGAACGAAATACATGAAAATGCAATTTAGTGAGCCTTTTGCTAATTTTATCCCTTTTGTAGTAGTTAAATTACCCTAGGATATTGGTGCAGATCAAGAAATTCTAAACTAGATATATTTTCTATGAAGGAAAATTGCATACTTGGTCCTGTTAACAACTACAATCATAAAACAGGTATATTAGATAAATTAGCCTAGAATATTGGTGCAGATCAAGAAATTCTAAACTAAATATATTTCTATGTAGGAAATTTGCATACTTGGTCCTGTTTACAGGTTCATGTCACATGAACCTGTAAACAGGACCAAGTATGCAAATTTCCTTCATAGAAAATTGTCGTAATTTTTCCAGCTTCGCAAACCGACCTGAGTACAAGCCCCTGACGATGGTTAGCGAGGCCCCGTGTACCCGTGACGCCCAGGACCGTAAGCGGCAGTTTGATAACGACTGCCCGATGTTCTGTCCCGAGTACTACTCTCCAGTCTGCGGCAGTAACGGTCAGACTTACAGCAACACCTGTTTCCTGCAGATGGCCGCCTGTACTGCTGCGTAAGTTTGCTATAAAATTCATTTATGACTTGTCCCACCTATAGAAAACAAAGAGATACATTGTTACAGGCTATTACTACTAAGACAAAGTTCACCCTATCTGGTACACAGTACGATACATTCCATGAATTATTGTCATATCTAACTACCCCATCTGCATACGTAGACCAATTTCGGCACACTTCATTTCATAAGCGAGACCATATCATCAATACATGAACATATTGTAACTCATATACTGTATAGATAGTAGCTTGTAGTAAGAAATGTAATAAGATAGTTTAGTTTTGTAGTATTGTTGTATTACTGCCACACATTGTATCATGTGCGCTTGCGAGCAATAAAGTTAATACATTTAACATCTATTCAACATTTTATTGCCTATATAGAAACATTCTAGAAAGACTTTGTAACACTGAATTACTTATTTTTAACTAGGTCATAGCTTTAGCAGGACGTGAATATGGTAAAACGTAGGCATCATTTTCATCAATATAATATTCATAAATTCGTTGTTGTTGTCCCTGTTTTCATATGCTAGTAGCCTACCTTGGGAAAAATCGTATGAAAGGTAACTTAATGCAGATCAGAGTGCTCTCATTATTATATGTATTTTTTCTTGAATAGCAAAGTTTTTTTATCACAACCATTTATTTTTCACTAGCCAACGTTTCGATGACTTTCTGTCATCTTCATCAGGGCAATTCTGACTGGTTTACTGTGCACTGACACTAGATGTTACTTGGTGCATAGTGCACTAAAGGTGTTACATAGTTCATAGTGCACTTAAGCTAGTTTTTTTTTTGTTTACAATACATTCAGAATTGCCCCGATGAAGATGACAGAAGGTCATCGAAACGTCGGCTAGTGAAAAATAAATGGTTGTGATAAAAAGAACTTTGCTATTCAGTCGTTTACCAACCTGATGAAATTATTTACGGATGTATTTTTTCTTGTTTATTTTGTTTCATTTTAGCGCCAACGATCCCGACGCAAAGCCTATCCTTCTGTGGCATCCTGGCGGCTGCAACGCAAACGGTAGCGAGATGGAACTCCCGCTGTTTTCCTGAGCAAAATCGCCAGGTGGCGCTGTTGATAACGGCAAGCGTTAATGCATGGTGCAGCACACTAACACTTGTGTCACGCATATGAATAAATTACATTCTTGCTGCGGCGATGTGGAACATGATTTGTCGACCAATTCTTTATAATAATAATAATAATAATTGTTTATTGATTGATCGATGAGTACAATCGCTAGCATGTGGCAGCGCAACTAAAAATGTAGCGCTGAATTGTATGCTAGTGTTTAAAAACAGAGAAACAAATATTCCACAGTTAACAAGTAGACAACTAAACAAGTGAGTATTTCACAGTTAACATATAGACAACTAAATAAGTGAGTAAAATGAGCTTAACAATATTTACAATATCAACCAATAAGTTATCAATATCATCAGTGTAAAAAATAATAATTCTATAGTATGTTACATTATAACTAATCTTTACACCATATTGCCCTATATATCCTCCTCATTATGATTTCTTAAATCCTCTTTCAGCGCATCAAATGGATCTTATAGTTTGCTTTAACTTATGTCAGCGGAAAGTCCCTAGCAGCTTTAGCAAATAGTAACAAATTTATAAATATAACGTTATATAGACATTAGCAAACAAGGCGAGTTGAATCAAAACAACCACATGAGAGTCCAGACAGCTGACATAACCTTTAACTGTTTAACGTCCGTCATCAACCAATATTTTCAAGGTCGATAAGAATAATTTGGACAGATCTATACGTGTTTTAAAAGAAAAAAATAGTATATAACTGTTATATCGAATACCATGGGTAAAAACTAGGCGCAAAATTACAGGGAAAAAGTTGCAAAAAAAGAAGACTGTGTTCAAGATTTAACAATTTTTTAATTCCTATCATACATACAATGAAAAATGACAAGTAGCGCTGAAGAGATAAGGGGGTGTAACAGTCACATATTTTCTAAGCCAATGCCCAGCCGGGTAGTTTACGGTCTATTTGGAAAAAAAGGACTGTAGCATTGGCACTACAAAGTAGGTGAAGAGTCCACTCATCTTATCTATTACATGGTAATCAGCGGAAGAATGTAAACATGGCTACCCACTGTACGTGGGGTCCCGTGGTTTGTTCCGGATCCGGAGTTTGGATTAGGCCACACCAAGTAAATTTTATGGATGACGTCCTTTGGAGACCCTATATCTAATGCGAGAGGGCGAGAAAAAAACAATAAGGGCCCTAAGAAACAAGATGCCTAGATTAGAAATATATGAGACGACAAATGTTAGGACAAAAATTGAAGGAGGTGACACAGTGAGCAAGTAAGAAGTCTTTTATTCATCATCAAAACAGCAATAAATCAGGTGGAACAACTAGTTGTCGTCCTGTCTTGTTTTCGCGTTACAGGTTTCACGTCAATCTGACGATTTGTGGCACTGTCGTGACTCTTTCTTCATAGTTACAGGAAGCGGAATTTCTTTTTTTTTTTCTAGGAACAGGCCAGAATCAATGCGCGCGCGGACGTCGTCCATAAAATTTACTTGGTGTGGCCTTAACGCATTTTGAGGACGTCACAGTCGTGTGATTCCAACACATTTCAGTGAGAAACACCACAATATGGCGGTCTCACTGTGGATGCTCCTCGTCTTTCTGGCAGCAGGTAGGTCAAATTTCAAGTTTTCACTTCAAAATTTTACCATTTCATATACAAGTTAATTGTCAATAACCACAGAATGGCTTCTCCGTTTTATACCTGTGCATTATACCTTATTTTACATTATACCTGTTTCCAATATGGCGTTCTTCACAATATGGCCACAGAATATCACATTACAAATTAACAGTAACGTTACATTATATAAGTCAGCCATTTTATGTATTTTGCCACTTCTTGAGTAGTAAAGTATTGCTCATGCTTGTCGTTGTAGCTTGGTTTATGTTCTATAATATGTCTACCAAAGATCCCGTTGCAGGCCCATGCACGATTAAGACTGTTGCTAGTTTATTGTTGGTGTACCTCAACAATATAGTTAACAGAGATAAGTATGCACTGTGCAATTGTCATATACTAAAAAAAAAAAATATTTAAAAAACTGCCAAACTCAACGCGAGTTATAGCTGCGAGCACAAAGACATGGCCGAAAACATTATTTTCCCGCGGAAGGATATCTCTTTCCCCCAGGTAATGAGTATCGTACTACAGGTTGCCAGGCCAAGTCCGTCGCCAAACCGAAGCGCCAGTCGCTATCGGAAGAAGGCTGGTACCAGGCCGGCTGCCTGAACCACATGAGCTGCGGCATCACCGTAGAAGGGCCCTTCTGCGCGAGTAACGGGCAAACCTACCACAACCACTGCGCCTTCCTCACCGCAGCATGCATCTGGCCGTGAGTTGGCCTTTTTTTGGCAACGCCAAAGAGGCGGGTCGCAAAATACAATTTTGTGATATTTCATAACACATTTTGCCCGTGAGAGAGAAAAGTCGAAGAATTATATAGTTACTTATCTACCAGTTGTTTGACCAACATAACTGAAATGTACTGCTTTTGGGACATGTGACGTCAGGAGCAGGTCAAAGGTGACAGGAAGTCGATACCTACCGCCGTCCCAGTTTAAAGTCGCAGAACACAGTATTTATGCGTGACCGGGTTTATTTATCTATGACGCGGGTATGGAAAGTAGTGCAGACAAACCTCTTGCATTCTGGCTAGAGCGACTTATGTGAGAGGTAGCCATGAATGAACTGCACTGTGTGGTATAGAAAGGTATCGGCTTGTTCACCGTATGAGTTGTATTGTGAAGATTTCCCTGTTCGTGTATAAATGCGCGGCATTACGCAACCACGTTCCAGGGTGAGCCGGCTGCAGTTCCGTTGACCCCGGTAGAGGGCTAAATCAAAGTGGTCGTCATTATGTTAAAAAACGATAACTTTTTTTTTGGTTTTCAGTTATTTTGTAGGATATACCGTATATTTCAACATATTAGTTGGCCGTGATTCTCTAGTGCACCCTACTATAATTTTGACCGCGTCTAAGTGAGTCACCTCGGGGTGCTTTAACTATAGGAATCCCCATAGGGCGAAAACTGTGCTCTGCCACCTTAACGTGGTTTTAAGGGTCTAGGTTTAAATTGCCTACTTAAGTACTTTTACTTAACTTGTGTACATATGAAATAGAGATTTATACCAATATCTTCCTACCGTTATCTCGTTGACAGATACCAGTATCCGGACGATCCACCAGTTGTCTTTGAGCACGATGGCAGATGTGGTGAGTAATTATATACAATGTATATTATAAACTGCATACGGTAGTACTGAGAACAATGTCTGTACCTTTTTCAAAATCGTTCCAGAAATTAACTTGAAAGCCTCACGAAGGCAATACTATAGTCGATGCCTTGAGAGTAAACGGCGTGTTTTTATCGTTTTTTTTTTTGCAGTGGTATATTTAGGGCGTAAAAAATGATAGCAGTGCAAAAAAAGCCCAATTAAAATGCCCCCAAACAGGCCAAAATAAGCCAAAACCCAAACCTCTGCTTTTCTAAATCATTCCAGAAATTAACTTGAAAGCCTCACGAAGGCAATACAATAGTCGATGCCTTAAGAGTAAACGGTGTGTTTTTATCGGGCTTTTTTGCAGTGGTATCTTTTTAGGGCGTAAAAAATGATAGCAGTGCCAAAAAAATAAGCCCAATGAAAAAGCCCCCAAACAGGCCAAAATAAGCCAAAACCCAAACATCTGCTTGGAGAGTGCAATAGACCTCATTCCAGATACAGTCGCCACATTGATTCTATTCTCGCGAGAGCACATCCTTGGCGTGAGCGCGCGTGACCTCGCACGAAAGCGAGGCTTCCGTGTGGTCGCGGATTCCCTGTAGTACGTTCTAACACAGAGCGATGCTCCAACTTCAACGGTGAGTTTTGCCCGTATATATTTATAGAACCTATAAACAGTGACATATATTCTTTTCTCCGTAAGACGAGGCCCGGACTCAGGAGTACCGGCGTAAGCGCCAGGCCCTCACCGACGAGCCTTGGTTCCAGGCCGGGTGTCTGGACTACGTGTTCGAGTGCCACATGAGCGGGACGGAGGGCCCGTTCTGCGCGAGTAACGGCGTGACCTATCACAACCCCTGCGCCTTCCAGAGCGCCGCCTGTATCTGGCCGTGAGTACTGCAGTGGTTTGAAGTAGCGTATCTTTCTTAGCGTGTCTATTGACACGAATAACAGAAAATTTTGCACTATTGATAGGATCATCAAATGGTGCATTTTCTGCTGTTATTGACAGGATGGTCATGTCAATAGTTTTTCACTACATTGACAAAATTGCCATTTCAGTAGCCTTAGGTTTGAAGTAGCGTATTTTCTCGACCGCATTCTGTGAAAAGAAATTGGCTGTATTGCGACAGGTCAAAGGTCAAAATAAGGTTGCTCCCGAAGCAAATTGATACCATCTGCATTTTATACCTGACTTCGGTTGGGGAGGTAAAAGGCGCTAGGAGAGGGATGGGCTCCGCCTTCCAATACGGTGCCCTTGACACAAGTGGGTAACAACCCAATCCACCACTTTCCCATCCCCAGAATGCAATGCGAAAATACGGGGGTAACCCTCATTTGCATAGGACTGGAAGGCATCGGAATGATCCTGTTGACGTTAAACAGCTTGCTTTTCACTGTGTTTTGAGGTGTCGGGGTATTTTATAATTATGCTTTTTATGCATTTTAAACACAGTGAAAAGCAAGCTGTTTAACGTCAACAGGATCATTCCGATGCCTTCCAGCCC